GGGACATCCTCCTCGGGCGCTTCTTTCTGCACCCAGGTAGCCTAGCGGATTCGGGAAGGGGCTTTTGGTGCCTTTTACTTTTTTTCAGGTTTATTTTTTAGTCGAGAGGACCTCCCCTGCGGGCTCCCACCGCAAGCCGACAGGGGAGGCGGAGTGAAGTGTCGTTCCCTCCTCCCCACGACGGCCTCTCCGCGGTTCTCCCTCCCGGTTCCACCTCCAGGCGGCATCCTAAGCCAGCGTTCCGGACTTTCACCTCCTGACCGGCCGCGTCCACGCCAGAACGGCGACCCGAGACTCCCTCCCCTCCTAGAGGCGCAGGAATTCCGGGTGCCCGGGCTCCCCTAGGCTCCAAAACGCGGGTCGGAGGCCGAGGTTCAGCCTTAGCCCGATCGCTCCGCCGTCCCGGGAGCCGCCACGAGTGTCGCCGCGACCCTCCCCGTCCCTGGCGCTCTCGTGCTCCCCGGCCACAGCGCGGCCGCCTCAGCCCCCTTATATAGCCCTCTAAAAATAGCTCGCCTCGCACCGCCTTGTAAGGCAGCAGGGAGATCCGCAGCGCACCAATCCGCGCCTGCTACCAGGGCCAAGCCCCGCCCCAGGCCCCGCTCCGCGCTCCCCATTGGTCCTCAGTGACTTCATGAGCCCCCTGTTTACCTTACATGGTCACACGCGGCCTAGTGGACGCCCTCCTCCGAGATCCCACGGCTGCGCAGAGAGCCGGGCGGAGGGGAGGGAGTTTGGGGAGGAGGAAGAGCAGGAGGAGGAGAAAAGGAGCAGGGAGGGGGGGCGGGGGAGAGACTACAAACTAGCAAGGATGGGGTGGGGGGTGGGGAGGGGAGGGGAGGGGAGGAAAGGGAAGGGGTGGGGGGGGGGGGAAGGGGTGGGGGGGGAGAGAAGCGATCGCGAGAAAAAAAAATGCAACCTCCCAAAATAAAGAGCAAAGATTGCATTAGGAGCGAACAGCGCTGCAGAAATAGATGGCAGCTTCGTGTCAGTGAGTTTGCATCCCCTTTCCTGATCCACGAGCTGGAGTGATTAGAGCCCTGGAAGGGAATTGTTACTCCCGTGGAGAAGTCCCCTTTTCCTGGCAGCCGTCTGCACTGTACACTCTGGATGCCTCTCTCCATCCACCCCACTCACTCTCTCCTCTCTCACCTCCTCTCTCCCTCTCTCCCGCATTGATTTTTTTTTCCTTTTTAGTTGACTGAAACAAAACAAAACAAAAGGGCCACTGGATGTCTGCCTTCTTGGGGGGTGAGCCAGACAGACTGACAAACAAACAGACCCAACTGTGTTCGGGGGAGGGTTTCTCCTCCCGTTTTGCCCGGCAGCAGCAGCATGGACGTGTTGGCTAGTTATAGTATATTCCAGGAGCTACAACTTGTCCACGACACCGGCTACTTCTCAGCTTTGCCATCCCTGGAGGAGACCTGGCAGCAGGTGAATGATTTAAATTACTTGTGTAAATCGTGTGGTGGTGGCGAGACGCAGGGGCTGCGTTGGTGTGGGCTCGGGGTTGAATTTTTGGGTTTATTTTATCCCCCCCCCCTTTTTGGCTGTTTGTTATTTAAAATGTTTTCCTAAACAGTCCTCTGCGCTTACCTCTCCACCCACCCCCTAACCCCGTAGTGTGCTGAGCCGATCAGCCGGTCGGAGCTGCCTGCAATTCAGTCATCAACACACATGCTTCTCCACACGTTGTTGGGCTCCCTGTTCCCCAGCAGAGACCTGCCTAACTTCTGGGGTTCGGAGGAACCGGGTGGGAAGGTAGTGTGGGGCTTACAAGCTTTTGCTGACAAGAGACTGCGTCTCTACATGGGCGATCTCTACTTACTTGGTACCTTAAATCAGGTTCATCTCTTTCAACTGGTGCTGACGACCGTCAGATGGTGGAGGTGATGGTTGGGGGGGTTGGGGGGGATAGTGGAGCAAAGCAAAGCGGAGCGTTTTCCCAGTAATTAGCGAGTGTCAATAAAGAATAGGAACTTGATTTTGAGATTAGAAGGTGGGTAGAATGGAGCGGAGCCCGGGGGCACTCTGGGTCCCTGGAACTCTATCGCTGATCCTGCATTCTAGGTTTCCCTAGGGCAGTGTCTCCAGAAAGAAAACACCCTCTACCAGTGCCCTTGTTTCTCTTTTTTGTTTGAGGTCTCTCTCCAGTTAGACAGCACAACCTCTGACAAAGCATGACAAAGCCTGTCGTGTGCTTGCATGCCTCTTACTTCGTCTTTAGAGGACTAGTTAAGAAACTGCTAGGATGCTGAAAGGTGCTGATGCCAAGTTGGCTAAGCGTCCCAGTGAGGACTAAGTGAGGCTGGTGACAAGTTCAGGGGCTCTATGAAGTGAAAAAAAGAAAGTGCTGGTCAGTGGAAAGTACTCTTATCTGCTGCGGAAATTGTTTTTTTTCTTTTTTCTTTTTTCATTTTCTTCCTTAGCAAGGATTAGTAGCTGCTGAGGGGCATTCTGCAGGAAAGATGGTGGGTGGGTAGTGAGAGTATGGGTGTTCTTTTAAAAATCTACAGTATACACCATGGAAAGTCCAAAATGACAGTGGGGATTTGGGCTTCAGAAGTGTGAACTTACACAGTCCTCTTAGAGAAACCCACTTGCCCTTGGGGAGGGTTTCCAAAGGCTTGGTGTGCTGCTGCCCTTGTAACTTCTCCACTCTGTGACAGCCGCTTGTTAAGGCTATGAAGGGCTGACTGTATCCTCTGCCAGGACCCAAGACAGAATTTGCCAGCTTGAAGCTGGGATGTAACAGTTGCTGCTTTAGAGAGTGGAGGTTTGGCTTTTGGTATAAGGAGCTCAGTGGTAAAGCCCATCTTCTGTACCATTGTTGATAATAGTTGCTCTGCTCTCCTGATTAGAGGCTGTGACTTTTCCTCCAACTGTTGGCCTCTGCTGTCTGTGTGTCCATGCATGCATTCCTGCCCAAGGATGTTGGCAGATATGCTTGACTTTGTCTCAATGTACACGCAGTTCACATGCTTTTAGTGTAAGGCACTTCTTCAGGGCATCCTTTCCCCCATCCTTAACAGAAGTGTCTCATGAAGGGTCTCACTAGATCTTTTCTTCTCTTATTTTTGCATGCTAATTAAGCCAAAATGTTGCCAGAATTTCATTTTCTGAAATAGCGTTCTCTTTACACTGTCAACCCACTGGTGTCGAATTAGTTGCGTATTAACAACTGTCTAGACAGGTTAGGGAAGGGAATCTGTTGATTTAGTCAGCCTGCCCAAGGCAGCCCTTGTTTGTGACTAACTGTTAAGCAGTGTTGGAGGGAAGAAAGTTGGCTTTATTTGTTACAACGTTCCCTCTTGATGAATCACACAACTTTGTTTTGGTTCAAGTTTTCACAGTAGTAAAGCTTGCTTTTGGAGAAGGCCTCTCCAGGGGAAACCTGCTTTTCTAGATCTGGTTAGACCATCCAGGAGAAAGTCTAGTTCTGTAGAGAAACATCATGGGCCTGATAATTAAGGGATGTAGTAGATCTATTGTTTCCTCAGGAGCCTTATCTTCTCTATCCCCCCCTCCTCTCTCTTCACCCTCTACAAGCTTAGTGTCTATACAGGCAAAGGAATTTTCACACCCCCCTTTTTTATTTCTTGCCTTAACCCTCCAGCTGCCAACCTGAAGACTCTTAACCAAGCTATTTCTGAGACCTGCTCATAATCCATAGTGAAACGTAATTTACGGGGAAACACTCCTGAGTTAAGATTTCACTCTAAGGAGTGGTCTGCTTTGGACCCCAGTCCTAACTGCTCTAAAGGTGACTATGCCTATAAGTTGATATGATGACAAAACCTCTAACTCCTATCACTAACATCCTCCTTTCTCCACCCTCCCCCAGTTTCTCATGGGTTTTCTAAGTATGGGGGTGTGAGGGAAGGTGGCTGTATGCAACTGTTGGTTCTAAATCTACCATCAGATGGTGAAATTCTGAGACTCCTTTGCATGAAATGATTCAAGGAGGTTGTTACAAAGAACCCCAGGCAGGAGGAAGTTTTCTGATGCTTTGGAGTAATCAGATTTTAGAGGTCAAATGAGGAGCAATTATTAGATGTTCTTCTGAAAGTGAACAGTGTACCTGGGCTTGAGATGAGATTCCAATGATCTGATTAGATTTTAGAGAAAGAGTGGCTTGGATGATAAACTCAAGAACATCTGTGCATTTGAAAATTGAAGATGCACAGTTTGGGATTTTATTTTGAACTTACTGTCTGAGATAATTTTCCTGCTTGATAATCAATGAGCCTGCAATGACCCTCTTGTCACGGGGTCATCATTTTGACATTGGATTTTCAGGCAGTGAGGTCTTAGCCACATACAAGCTCCAAATCTGAAAATCATTGCCGGTGTAATTTTAAAATCCAGATGGACATCCTACATTAACAGCTTTCCATTCCTGGGCTCTGACTGCATACTTAAGCACTTGGCCCAAGTAACATCATCTCTGCCTGTCATATAACTATAAATTACACTGTGCTTATGTGGTCTGTTATTTTATGGAATTTAACTGACGCACAACTCTTAATGCTCCCAGCCTTAAGCTCTTTGGAAACTTGCAGAAAATATTCCAAGAGCTGTCTGAGCAAAAGTAGGAGAAAGTCAAAGGTAGGACAGAAGCTTGTAGGGTACCACTTGATGGATAAAGAGAGACCATTCATGAGTTTTGTTGCCAATAGAAATCATGACTTTTCTGGATCCACTGGTGACTAGGAAACTATAAAGCATTTGATACAACATTTTTGGCTATTATTTCTTCAGAAAGCTACAAGGCTTTTGGGATTTGGGTATATTCTTTGTATCTAGTGTGCTGTCTCATGATTGCAAGTCAAGTAATGAAATTCTAAGTCTTGTTTGCACTTAGCTTTGGTTCATGTCATTGAGGAACATGGCATGTTTACTTGAAAATGCGTATGGAATTATGCTTGTTGTTAATGCTGATTCATAATTGGCAGATGGGGTCAGTTTCAGGCCTCCCTTTTTGCACAGAGAAAATTTTCCACTGCTACTGGAAACAAATAAATAAATCATAGAACATTCCTCCCTCCCCCTATTCCCCCATTGTTTTAAACTAATGGCATACTTGGCTACTGTAAGAACTAAAGTGTCCCCATAAAGCTGCAATTTCATCTTGGTGTTTCGGGCACCCTGAAACAGTTCTTACAAGGGCCTTTGGTATGAGGCATCTCCAGGGGACAACCTACAGAAATGGTTGCCTTCCAAGAACTGCCTCATGGTGCAAGAGAGGGGGTTTAGTCTGTGAGCTGCATCGCTTCCTTCTGTATAGTGATCTCTTCTCATACTGTCTTCTGGAGGGCTGGGTCGCCAGGTGCTGTCTCAGCCAGAAAGACAAAGCAAACTGTAGGGTCCCTGCATCTGCAGGTTGCCTCTGTCCCCAATTTGCAGAAAACCTTGTCATGAATTAGAATTTCTTGGCAACAGCACCACCCAGGGAAATTTGTAGACACAAAGGAGCCTTTGCTTAACCACACTGAAAGGATAAAACAGCTGCCTTTTTTTTTTTTTTTTTTGGTATGTGATTTGTGTCCTCGTCAGTTACCATAAATCTATTTTTTTATTTGAAACAGTGACTTATTGATGAGAAAAAACAAAAAAACTAGAACTGCCCTGTAATCCAGATTTTCTTTATAACGATGCAATCACTAGATAAATGTAGCTTTACAAATGAAAGCACATGTGAATGCAATCAATCACACACTTACACCCTTTTTTTTAAGAGGTTCATTTACATGTTCTTTTTAATAGATACATCTTTGTGCAGATTTAGAGGCTCTCAAATATGAGCATTCAGTCTACCTGTTTGCAGTGTGGTATTTTAAAGTGGATGAACGTTAAGATGCAGAGTTTTACTACATCTGTCCTTGGGGGGCAGGATGTGTGTGAAGGAGATGGGAACTTCTTTGTTCTCCCTGAAACTCCCACTTTCTCCCCACTCCCCACCCTGGGAAGAATGTGTTGTTGGGGGCCAGTCCACTTCAAGGGCAGCATTGAAGATGCACTGTGACCGCCTCCCACTGAAATGATTTGTGTCTGGGTGTCAGAGACCTCCAAACGTGGTGAGGCTTTTCTTCTCTCCCAGTCCATTGGAAATCTAATGCCAGTGGGGGCTGTTTGCCTTGCCACTTACGCCTGGGTAGTTTAGGTTAGGGTCATAGTGGGACTTGTAGTATAGTGTTGTCGTCTAAATCCTCAGATTCTTTTGCCTTCTGAGATTTCCTGTATTTTAACTTTTTGAGCATGAGAAGGCATTTCAGCCTTCATTAATCATTCTGTGCTTATTGGGGAGAGAAGAACACAGTTTGAGTCCCTGACTGACTCACGTTGCTAGGAAAACGGCTCTGACCAGATGGGTTGGTAGGTTCCCCCTACCCCTGCAGTATGGGGTTCCCCCTACCCCTGCAGTATGTGGTAGC